GCAATATGACATACCAAAATTGTCGCCAGCAACGACTGCAACATAATTTCTGCATTTTCTATCAGTATGATGCCAGTTTGAAGGGACTGGGGTATGGCTCACGGTTCGGAAGGATGCGTCACAGCGTAGTAGTTTGATAGAGTTATCCCCTGACTCGCAAGGAATTGCATGTTAGGATCTGAGGCAGCCTTGTCATAGTCCTAACAGCTTTTTTTTTAGTTCAAACCAAAAAGAGCAGCCCCAGAGGAACTTACGGTGTTCTCCATCCAGATTTGCACGATTCTGTCAAATGCCGCGCCTTTCACATTTGAGACCGGCGACAGAGGCGTGGAGCTAGGTTCAGCTGCAGTGATTGCAGAAGCTGCAGGTTCGATGGTCGAGAAAGGGGGCCTTGAAGCATAAGTGGTACTTGCTCCTAGAGCGAGCTTGCTGCCAAGCAGCACAGCTAGCAGAACAGTAGAAGCCATGGTGACAGGAGGTAGATGAGTTATCAATTAGCTTGTCAGAGGAAAGAGACCGATGGACAAGCTCAGGGAAGGATGGTTCAGAGCTTGATCTACTTGAATCAGTGACCGAGGAAGCTCCTGCAGGGTCCGTCATACCGGACTGGCACTACACTTTATACTCTGAGATGTCAAGCGAGGCTGTTGATTGAGCAATCCACGTTGCACCCGGCATGGGACAAGGATATCGAATGCAGCGTTACCAATACGAAGGTTGTGACTGGGGGAGCGTCGTTGCTCAAAGTAGGTTCTGCCTATTCAGGAATAAGGGAATCCACGCAGCTGCACCAGGAAGCTCTCAAGAGTACTTTTTCTGCTGAAACGTTCGGTGCCAACCAGGATAGAGAACAGGGCCAGGGCCCAGGCCCAGTAAACAGCCAGATGCAGCACTAGCGAATAGGCGTGGGCGTGTTTGTCACTGGCCAACGAGATGCTCTGCGATCAGCGGGTTGCACCTGGATGAAGAGCAACACCAGACATTGCAAAATCTGGTGGTTGGATTCGGCAGGAGGACGGATCAATCATCAAAGTCATACAAGTCCCTGCCCATTACCCATAACCCATTACCCCTCATCACGTTCTCGAACATCGACAGGGTATTCGACGATCAGTCTGCCGCTGCGGATTCAGGGCGCAGTCGTGGTGCTGCTGTGGCGTTTGGATTGCAAATGTTGGTTGTATGATTGGGTGTGGAATGTGCCTGGAAAAGGCACGCTCCCGCTCTCTGGCGCCATTGAAGGGGGCAGACCCGAGGATTGTACCTCCGTCGAATCGGAGGGAGGTGGAGGTGGAGGTGGAGGTGGATGTGGATGTGGACGTGAGTTGAAGGTTGGAAGGGTTGAAGGTTGGTGTGCTGTTTCGAGGCTAACAGCGCCACGCCGGGAGCGATCAAGCATTTCTCCAGAAGCCTCCAGAAGCGACTCCACTGGAGGCCCGCGGACAGTGCAGATAAGCTTCGCCAACGGGGAGGGGGAGGGGAGGGAAGCACGACGGATCTGGTGGGATCACCCAGCCTGGCCCCATCTGTACAGTACATCTGCACAGGGAAGCCCAAATGGGCACCCTGTCGAGCCCAAACCTGAGACATCCGACATCCTATCCCCTCGTCCTCGATTCCTCACATGCCTCGTCTGCCTTCTGCCTCTTCTGCTGTCCCTCGGTCGGTGAGGCCGTCCAATATCAGTGCAGGAATCGCCCAGCCGCGAACGGATCGCCAGGTCGGCGCGCACACAATCAGTCCCTCATCCTTCTCTTGCAGCGTGCCCCAGTCGTTGCCAATGATCGCGTGCACATGTCCTGCTTCCATCTCTCTTCTAGAATGCCCGCCAGCCAGTGTCGGCCCTACCATGACCCATGGGCCTTGAAGGTACCGAGTACGAAGCAGAATCACTTATCTTCCATCAGGACCGCCAGGACCTTACCAGATACGTCGACAACAGCCACCGAGAAGTCTCGTCCGGAAATCATCCCGTACGCATGTCTTACTGTTCTCTCTGTCGTACAACAGCAATTCGGTCTTCCTTTGGTGACTGAAAACGATCGTTAATGCCAGCTTTCGGTCTGTTCTTGGAAGGTTTCTAGTCTGTTAATTCATACCGCTTCCGAGGCTCGACTATCGTGGTGAAAGTATCCAGCATAATCGTCGACATAGTCTCATGAGTATGGTGTTCATAACTTGCATGCCAATATAATTTTCAGAGTTGCGAGGATGAAGGACAAGCCTGCTGAAGCTGTCATGGACGCCGAAGAGAAGCCACGTGCTGTAGGTCTAAAATTCGGAAAGCTCTTCCTTCTCATCACTGGTGTCATCATATTCGTTGTTATTGCTCTGGCTCTCGGTCTAGGCCTGGGATTGGGATTGAACCATCATCATGGCTCTTCTTCGGCGACAGAGCCTTCGGCAACTCCAACGCCATTCCCAACACCCACTGGATTATCAGAAAACCGACCATCATGGAGGCGAGACCCATCGGAGTATAATCTAGATATGAGCTGGGATATCAATGCCGCTCCCACAACGAGGGTTTTCAATATCACAGTCAGCGAGATCCAAGCTGCACCCGATGGTATTTCAATTCCAACTGATATCACGTGCGGTCTAACATCTCATAGGGGTTATGCGAACAATGCTTGTTATGAATGGACAGTTCCCAGGTCCATTAATCAGAGCCAATGAAGGAGATCGTGTACTGGTCAATGTGACCAATGAGCTCACCAACGGAACTTCGCTACATTGGCATGGATTGTACCAGAATGGAACGAATTGGATGGACGGCACGGCAGGGATCACTCAGGTAAATAACCTTCTCTAGACCTTCAAGAGCATGGCCTAACCCTATCTTGAAGTGTCCAATCCCACCTGGTCAATCGTTCCTCTACAACTTTACCGTCAACAACCAATTCGGAACTTATTGGTACCACTCTCACGTCTCGTCTCAATACACAGACGGCCTAGTCGGTCCCTTCATCATTCACTCCCCAGCTGAAGCCGCCGTCCGCTCAACCTACGACTATGACCAAGTAATCCTCTTCCAAGATTGGTATCACGATCTCAGTGCCGCTCTCCTACCCGATTACCTCGCGTCCGGAAATGAAAACGCTGAACCCCTCCCAGACAACGGCGTAATCCAAGGAACGAACTAGTCCGCCCCCCTTTGATTGTTTCCATATCTTATCCCAACAGAAGACTACATACTAACTATCGCCAGCTTTAACTGCTCCTCATACGACCCATCGGACGGATACACCTGTCAAGAGAACTCTACGAGAGCCATTCTTCCTGTCCACCAACAAAAGCGCCACCGACTACGACTCATCAACACCGGTGCATTCGGAGAGTTCCAAGTCAGCATAGACAACCACACACTCTCTGTAATTGAAGCAGATTCCACGCTTATCTCGCCTGTGGATGTTCACAGACTCCCAATCCACATCGCGCAACGATATTCCGTGGTCGTCAATTTTAACCAGAGTTTGTCTACGAATTACTGGTTCCGCGCACAGATGAATGAACATTGTTTCTCAGCCGATAGTCCAGTCTTGGACCCCGATGTGTTGGCTCTGATAACATACACCAACACGACGGCTGAGCCCACGAACTCAGCAGATTGGGCCGACGTCCAAGACGTCGTATGCAAAGACCTCAACACCACCCTTCTCGTCCCATTAAATCCAATATCGCCGCCAAAGAACGATTTGATGTATCAACTCGACGTTTCGTTCCAAATCGGAGCTTACGCGTTAGACAAAGCGTACATAAACTCCACGACATGGATCTCCTCTACCGCACCAACACTGAACCAAGCCATCACCGCTCTTGGCTCCTCAAACACAACCCTCTCTTCTTCTTTCTCCACCTCAGGTTTAGACACCACCCTCTTTTCACCTAGCGGCTCCCAATTTGTCCTCTCGGTCCCTTCAATTGCCACCGTCGATATCCTACTCAACAATCTAGATGAAGGTGCACATCCCTTCCATCTACACGGCCACCAATTCTGGGAACTGGCCTCCGGCTCCGGCAACTTTGACTATGAAAATGGATATGTAGGGCTAAACACCAGTAATCCGATGAGGAGGGATACCATGACTGTCAATGCTTATGGGTGGAGTTTGGTGAGGTTTGTGGCGGACAATCCGGGGCTATGGGCTTTGCATTGTCATATTAGTGTGAGTCTCTCTTTCTCCTCTGCCCCTTAGGCTGTGCGGCGACTTAAATCTTGGGTGCTCTCTTGACCCCGGAAGAGATGAAGAGAAAGAAATCAAAGATATGTTGAGTATGAAATAAGAGAATCAATGCTGACTAATTGTATTGGATAGTGGCACATGGAATCCGGTCTCCTAATGCAGTTCCAGACCCGAGCCGATATCATGAAGACCTGGACACTACCTAGTGATGTCGCGGGATTGTGTTCTACCTGAATCTTCGACCAGGATATCTTAAGCTGAGAATAGAAGGCAATATATATATACATATCCTCTCGAATATATGGCTAATAACTATATTATACCAGACCAAGATGTGAAAATACGTTAAACTAAACAAAAACCTAAACTTTCAGCAACCATTTTCCTGTACCTAACGACCTCCCTAAAACGCTGTTTCTAAAGCCTGAAAGGAGGTCTCGCTTATTAATGGAAGTATTTAGGCAACGCTATCTGTACATCCCATAACGAGATCTACGTCTCGCCCTTCGACGTCCAACCATCCCTCATAAAAACCCAAGGCAACTAACTAGTGAACCACCTCTTTAATTCAACAGATCCGATCTCTTAACCCATCCACACCCACCCGACCTCACCACCAAATCCCCACACACATCACGTGTCCCCTCCCCTCCCGCCAAAAAAAAAAAGCTCCACTTTCCAATACCCTTTCCCCTAAAATTCTCTCTCGCCCCACAATCCATCCCTCCCTCCTTCCCAAAACTATTCATTCCCTTCCTAAATACGAAGCTGTATAGAACCAAATAAGCATTTCCAGCTCAACCAATCATAGCCGGGCGCGTGGTTTAGTGGTATAATATTCCCTTAGCACTTAGCGTGGGAATGGTCCTGGGTTCGATTCCCAGCGCGTCCAATTTCGGTTCTTTTTTTTTTTTTTTTTGTTTTTTTTTGGCAAATCCCCTCACCTCTTTTTGTTAAGATGCTTTTAAGTTTTTACGATTCTGGTTAGTTTGATTGACAATGGCTCTTGAGGGCCTTTTTTTTTTGGAAGGGGGGGGGGCAAATTTTTGGGGGCTCTGGTGGAGTGGGTTTCGATTTCGTTTATGCAGTGGAGTGGAGCGGAGCCTGTTCAGGGGTTAGCGAGGAAAGCTAGGGGTTGGTTTTTTAGTGGGTGGGTAGCCTGGAAGTTTAGCGATGGCCCGCCCCTATTTTGTGGAGTTCCAGTAATCGAGACGAACGTTCACCTGAAGATATTCGTGGGGAAGTGGGAAGTTAATAGTATTAAGAGATCTTCTATCGCATGATCTACGGTAGGTAGTAAATGATAGGAGGGAAGTCCAAGAGAGAGTGTAAAGTTGAGAGAAGAGCGAGAAAATATCTGCTGGTGTGAAGATCTTGGAGGGGGGTGCGCGTTGAGATGTGAATCCGAGGAATCGAAGTCTAGTAGGGCAGCATCACGAAGAATCTGAATATTTATCTTTCGGCAGGAAGCGATTTGTCTTGAAAAACATTGATATCTGAGATCAAAGTTGGTTGAAAACAAGTGAGTTGCGGAGACACGAAGGTCCACCTATGTACGAATAGATATTTACAGAGGAAAATCTTTGTCCATGGACCCTCACCAGCGACCTCCTCTTTCCTCATTCCCTTTTAGCATATATACAATCCTCTCCCCTTCTTATCACTACTCAAATCAAAGGCAGAATCTTCGGCAAAACGTCCGTATAGGCAACGCCACTCGGAGGCTCCATCCCATAAATATAGGTTCCCCACCATGGTCCACCACCCCACCAGAGCGCACCCAGCCAAACGTCCGTATGTTTCCCCATATACGTCAACATATCCGTAACTGCGGATTCACACTGCGCATTTGCACCTCCAGCAAACTCTCCAATGATACCCTTCTTGTTATTGGTCTTGAGCCAGTTGGTTGCAGCAGTGATGCGTTCAGAGCCAATGGTTGCCGAAACGCAGGTTGCAGACGTGCCAGATCCGTCGGAGTCAAGATATTGATGCATTTCGTAGATGATGAGGTCTTGAGGGTCGGTTAGGGTGGCAAGGTTGGTGTTTCCTGAGTTGGTCGTCCTTCACGAACTGATGTCAGTAATTATTCTATGCCGACAAACACCTGGAGGCGAAGCGAGGGATGGGGAACAAACCAAGTCCAAGCACCGCTATAGCTCGTGCCCTCTACGAAGATATATTGCGTAGTTGCACCCGCAGCTCTTACTCCATTGATACAAGCTTGCATCAGCTGCGGTACACTCGCAGTTCCCATATCATGCGGCTCATTGTTACAGTCAAAGATGACCTTGCTGTTGCTCGCGAAAACGGTTGCGAGAGTTTTCCAGAAAGCTTGGAAACCTGCATAATCCGTAATGACCTTGTTATAGTATCTCGCAAAGTTGTGAGGGTCAACGATGGCATAGGCACCTTTGCCAGTGATGTAGTTGACGTAGGTTGTGAGGCCGTCCAGATAGGTTTGATTGAAGGTCCCGGTCATCGTGGTGGGAATAACGCGTTCCATCATGATTGGAATACCTTTTGCGTGTTAGCAACCGTTTTTAATTAAAACCTAGGATAAGAACGTACGGAAAATGTTCAAGCCCTTGCCAACTAGGGTGTCAATAGTAGCTCTATTCGTCAAGTTAGCTAGAGTTCGAGAACTCTCCCGAATTGGTACATACGTTGGTGGCCATGTATAGTCCTTGCCCAATTGACCTGGGAGAGCAGTGTTTCCAAACTCAGCACCGGATTCATTGACACCAAAGAATTGGAAAGTCTTGACTCGCTTCTTCTTCTCACCAGCAGGAGCAGCAACGGCAAGTATGGCCGTGCTGGCAACGACAAGGAGGTTACCAAAACGCATGACGACGATCGAAACCGACGATACCAGCTGCAGGTAATAGTTGAACTTCTCTTGGGCTACCTGAGAGTTGGGATGAAAATTGATGGGTACTTGCCCACTTTATAGCCATCTCGTGGCAATATCCAAGGCAGACAAGCTAGGAAATTAATATCGCTATCTGGAGACTTTCCATCCATAGAACTCTGTACGGAAGTCTTTCTAGGGAGAACAATTAAGGTACAATCTTGACATCCTTGAATTATCGAGTCCTTGTGATCTCTGACAAGTAATGATTGGATGCTAGATACGGCTGCACTCAAAGTGTGGATATAAAGACAAGGATAATCGGATGCGGAGTAGGAGTTACTGCCGGTTCAAGCCATGGTGGGGTGTAACCGCACGTTTGGGGTAGAGATGAAACAGCTAGGCTGCCGACTCGAGTGCCGTTGACGAAACGCCACAGACCCGAGAATTGAATGACCCTTGGTACCTCAAGTCTGGACATGGTCATACCAGGTATAATAAAGTACAAGAAATCTCGAGTAGCGAGCAAAACCAAAAGGAGTCTACGAGATCAATTGAAATGACACTGATGCCGAAGCTTGCAAAGAGGAGATAATACACGACCAGCACCGGATTATCCATTTTACATTAGATTAAACTCATAACCTTCCGAGACCCGTGAATTAAAGTACACCATTGACAGCATTTACTGTTCGCATTTGTTGGAATTTGGAAGTGCGGAATGAGACCTTCCGCCACTTGGCGAAGCGGGCATCGTACAGTACCTGCCTTTCGGCAATAACCCCCGCATTGCGGGGATGCAACACCACTCTGATGATATTTTCTGATAGAAAAAAGAATTGACCGACATAACGGCACCGCGGGCCTTACAGGCAGATACGATGCAACTAAGTTTGACAATGCTGAGTACAATCGTTGTACGGAATATCTCGTTAAGCTCGATTAGCGACTAAAGCACCTTTCTTAATGACCTCTTCCATCCATTTCGGGTCAATTTTGTCTTCTGAAAGGTAGGGAGAACAGTCAACGTCCTCTTCAATCCCAAATTTGCGATTCTCTATTGTGTATCCGAGTCCTAGGAATGCCCACCTGCAATAGTCAGCACGTGACAGACCAGAAACGCAGATATACTTACGGGTTTAATTTGTTCTGGTAGGTGATATTGTAGTCTTCGTACCGCGGTTCTTCAATGAGTTGGCAATAGTGCAGAGAGCTGCCAGGATATACGGCGTTGACTCGACCAGTCTCATTGTCTATATTTGTTAGCGTTGCTTAGAGAAGAGGAACGAGCTGCTTACTTCTATACCAAGCTCTGCAGTTGCTCGCCCATACAGTATGCTTGATAAATTCTTGTGTATGAGCATTGAATAGATCAGTAATATCTTGCTTCGGGACAATCGACTTGATGAACCTAGAAGATCGAGAAATCAGTACTTTCCTTATGCAGAATATCTCCAGGGTAAGCAGAGTAAGTGAATCAGCAACAGCTATTTCAGGAATGCATGAGACGAAGAAAGTATAGGTCGTAGAAGTAGAGAATTTTCCTTACTCGTTCTGCATCTTCTTGATGATTTTGATGGCGTATTCTCCCACGTATCCTAATGGACCCATCACTGAGCCGTTCTCCACTGGCCATGTAGGACCAATGAATGTGATGAAGTTTGGCATGTCTGGAATTGTGATTCCAAGGTAAGACTCTGGACAAAGCTTCCATTTCTCACCAAGCTCAACACCATTCTGACCGACTATTGGGAAGCGTGGTCTGTAGGATACGTCAAATCCAGTTGCACAAACGATCGTGTCAACCTTCTTTTTTTGGCCGTCCGTGTCAATGACAGAGTCTTCAGTGATTTTCTTGACAGCAGCGAAGTGAACATCGACGTTTGGTTCCTGGATCGCTCGCATATACGGATCACCTACGGTGGTTAGAAATAGATACCTTACCCAAAAGAGAACATACCAGGCGTGATCCTTCGACAACCCACTTGGAATTTCGGCGTGAATCCCTTTAAAAGCCTCTCGTCCTTGATAAATTCGGCCATACGATCTCCAAACATTTTCTGTGCTCCTTTCTGGACCTCGCTGTCAGTGAAAAACATGGACCAGAGACCATTGACTTGGTCCTCAAGATACTTTGCATGCTTCATAAGCGCTTTCATGTCTGCGCGAAACTCATTTCGTTGTTCCTCAGTATATATTTCTCCAGCACCGTTGTTACCAGCGATATTGATGAACCAGACCGCAGTGCGAACATACACATCGATATGCTTGACATAAGGTTGCATGTTTGGCAGAGTCTGAATCGAAGATGCACCCGATCCAATGATGGCAACTGATTCGTCCTTCCATTGCTCCTTCTGATAGTCTTTAGGCCATCGTGCCGTATCTAGAATGGTCAAAAACGTCCGACAGATAAGTATGCTTCCACTCACGGACGACTTTGCCCTCGAATTTGTCTAAGCCTTCGATGTCTGGCCACTTAAAATTGTTCAAAATTCCAGTCGCATGAAGCAGCAAATCACACTTCTCCTCAAACTCTCTTGGTTCTGAGTCAGGATTAGTCTGTCGGAGCTTCACAGTCCATTGGCCAGTGTCCTCGTTCCAATAGCAACCAATCACCTCCGTGTTAAAGGTCATGTATTTCCGAAGATCGAAAGTTTCGCAGACCTTGTCGAGATACTTAAAGATCTCTGGCGAATGACTTGCATATCGTGGCCAGTCTGGACTGAAATGCATGTATTAGCTCTGCAGTAAACAATGATATTGAAGACTTTACTTTATGGCAAAGTTGAAAGTGTAGGCATGTGAGGGAACCTAGACGTTCTCAGTCAAAGTGCTTCATGAACCATAAGAAGAGAAGAGATCCAAGAACAACATACATCACAAGCAGCGCCTGGGTAGCGGTTCTCCAGCCAAGTTCCTCCAATATCTTCATTCTTTTCATAGATAACATGTTCAACACTAATGATTGTCAGATGGAGAGACTTATCCCCGACTTTCTCCGGTGAATTTTACTTCTGACACTGTTTTTGAATCTGATA